TTAGAACTGTGGTTGGGTGCACATCACATCACCTGCCACCGCTGAGCGATTGGCTCTCAAGGCCATCGGATGCTCAACCCGGAACCGGATGCTTTCAGCTCCAGCTGCTTGGCATAGGGCACCACAGGGCACTCGACCGGACAGATGGGCCCTGGGCTGACGATGTGTTGGTTTCCACGTTTCAATTGCACAACGAATCAGATCTTACGAATTTATAGTGAGTTTCATTGTGTTTGCCGGCCCCCAAGTTAGGGGCGAATTTGGCATGTCAAGACTCTGGGAAAACCAGATTTTTGGACCCCTCCGAAGAAGTCACGCCTATGAAACCCACTATAGATCCATATAATTCGGGTGCGCGTCGCCTGCAATCCGCTGAGCGATTGGCTCCAAAACAGGCCATCGGACGCTCAACGCTGCGAGCTTCGTGGACCTCATGCTGCGCCGGCGCGGCTGGTGACGGCGGAGAATGTCACTGGTGTGGCGACCCTGCGCACGCAGGGCGAGCTGCGCATCACTGGGTACCTGGGCAGGATCTAAGGCACCTGGCACTCTCCAAGGACTTGACTTGAGCGGGTTTGGAGCTAAACCTTTTGACCAACGGAACTGTATGGAAACCATATCAAATCAGATGGTCAGTTCTCGTTTTAAGGCCTGCTCCAACAAAAAACCGTTGATATGCTTGTTTTACCACCCGATGTCCATCCAACTCTGCTGACTGAATCTCAGGTCCATCCAAATGATCTCGCTCCGCTTCGATGCCGGGAGCCTTGCCTTGCTGAAGACGAGCGCGTCCAACTCGCGCCGTTCGCGAAAGGCCCGGCCTTCGACGTCGGAACGTTTTGTCGGACAAACTGACTCGTGCTTAGTAGAGAATGGGGGAATGGATCCTAAGGGGTATCTACAGTGGAGGGTCATTCCTTCATTCATTCCTTGCTAATCGCCAGTTGGCAGATGTGAACGTGGCTGCACCGGAGGATGTCCTCACAGCTGCGACGTAGAAGTAGGATGAAGTAGGTATTGTTGGATGTTCTGTATAGTAATAGTGTTATGGGATGATGTGGGAAGTTCACAGCTCTTGGTTCTACCTCCCAGGACTTTGGTCTTTGACGACGCCCAAGTGGAAGCCTGGCATGAAGATCATCCAGACGAACTGATTGACCAGGGCGGCGCGTTTTCGAGCAGAGGGCCATTCACTTTGACCAATTCCTATCTGACCGCTTCTTGGATTGTATGGTATCATGTATTAGTTCTTCATCACTTGGCAAAATGTATATTTGCAACTTACAACATATTACATAAACCCTTTCTTTTACAGAACAGGGGACCACGGGCGTCCCGAAAATAACTAAAGATATAGTGAAAACACAGACATTCAGCACAACAAATACAGTATCAAAAGCACATAGCACAACAAAATAACTACTAAACACATATTAAACACATCTTTTCAAGACATATAGGAAAACAACATTTACATTCTATATGTCAAACAAAACAATCAAATGGTAGTTAAAAGGAACTATGATATATATAACTAAGACTAGCAGATATTATCCTGGCAAGAGACCCCAAACAGTGTGTGTGTGAGGTCTATAAGCAGAAAGTCTAGAGATCTAGACGCATTGGGGTCCAGAGAGGTGATGGTGGTGATCAAGGTGGGGATCGTGGTGACGGTGGCGGTGGTGAGTGAGTGAGTCAGAGTGAGTGTGGGTGAGAGTGAGAGGGTGAGGGAGTGTGAGTGTGAGCGAGAGTGGGAGAGTGAGAGTGGGAGAGTGAGAGTGTGAGAGTGGGAGAGTGAGTGAGAGTGGGAGAGTGAGTGAGTGAGTGAGTGAGTGAGTGAGTGAGCGAGTGAGTGAGTGAGTGAGTGGCTTGGCAGAGACCCCTGGGTTTGCTTCAGACCGGGTGAGCGCAAGCATTTTTCCAGTGCGTCGGCGTGTTGATGCACTGCTTCGAAAGGTCTTCAGAAAACGAGACTCACTGCAAAACATGGAGTCTGCCATTGGACAGCAAAGATGGGCGAATGCTCAGTGTGCTGCCACGCCCGAAGAGGCGCAGCAAGCTCAAGGGGGCAGACCCTCCAAGGTCAATGGCCTTGCTTTGGTAGAGCTAGTACGGGAGCGTCTTCATGCCAGCAGCCAAAGCAGCTCCAGGATATGCGCAAAAGGCTCCAGCTCTTCTCAAGAGTGGCATGTTGTCAGAACCTTAACCAAGGACGCCAATGCCATTTATGATGATGAGCCTGATCTTTTCTGCAATATGAGCCAGCGAACAATGAAGAGACTGATGAAAAAGCATTTGTCTGAGTACAAGCCTGCATGGAACGAGGGCGACTGGCGCCAGTATTGCTACGATTTAGACAAGAAGGCTGGGCTAAGTAGGAATGCCAGCAGCTTGTGCGCAGTGTGAGGGCAAGGTTGGAAGCTTTCATACCCAAATATTTTGAATTATTCGACCGGTTTGCGCAGCAGCAGCAGCTTCCGGAAAAACCAGGGCTTCACTTGGGCTGTTGAGACACTATGTGTGGGCAGCCTGCGTTTGCCCGTGAAGCAGGGCTCATCCTGGCATCTATCAGCTCAGCCACTGCTGCCACTACCAGAGGTCAGAACTTTCTGGAAGGAGCATTCAGAAAGGAATTGGCTTACTAGCCTTCTGGCATTGTGTGGGGTCAGCGCCGACTTACGCAATTATGTATTATGTAGGTCGTTGGCACATAGCCTCCTCCGCAGATGAGTACCTTCGTACTGCGAAACGTGTGATACATGGAATGCAGGAACAACTCATGAATACAGTGTGTGGCGACGATGTGTGGGACCTGCGCAATGTAGGGCTGGATGAACTGCGTGCTTATCTAACCGACAGGGAGGTCCCTACTGACACTGAGCAAGCAGACGTGTTATGCCAGCAGTTGCACCTTGGGCAAGCTCCGGAGCCTGTCGTGGAAGTTCTGGCAGCTGCGGCGGAGCCTGTGCTGGACGAGGATAAAGATCTGGAAGCCGAGTCTGCGCCGTACTTCGTGACCGTTGTAGGCAAGAAGAAGCTTCGACGTCTACATCGTTTTGGTGGCTGCGGAGTGAGCTCCATTGAA